TGCCAGAGATTAAAGCAACGGTGGGCCAAACAGCTCCAGTTGATAAAGCTTTGCAATAGTTTACACAACGAAGGGAAAGAGGTAAGCAATTATAAAGTTTTTAAAAGAAGCTTAGAAAACCTTTTACAAGTTGTTTTTTTTTTCCTTTTGTCTTTTGTTTGTTAAGTTACGGCAACGCAACACTTAGGCAATCTGCCTAGAGGATGCTTTCCGGGAGGTCTTTTTAACAATAACTGGCTTCTATTCGAGCGTTACGGACGTAGACAAAACCCGGAAAACTCCACGTGGCCAGTCCGTCCGAGCTAGGCGCGAAACCGCGACCGAACTCTCGGTGTTCCGAGAAAGAAACCGCTCGGCCACTGGTGGGCCTTTCATTTGTTTGCGTTCTTTGTATTGTTTTTGAATAATTGACTTTGAAAAAGGCCGACGGGCCAAAGAGTATTTAAATAAACTAGAAACGTTGTCTAGAATACGAATTTATACGTAATTAGTTCCTAAGGACAAACAAACACCACTCTTATCTAGATTTGATGAGAAAATCTTGTATCGAAAACAATAAAAGTTTTTATACGATTGAGTAAGAATTCTTGTAAGAACGGTTTATCTCGCTTTTACGAATTGCGTCAATTAAGGGGGAAATTTCAGACGCTGGTTTCTATCTTTCAGGTCACTAGAAGAAAAGCGCGAATTATTCATCTGTGAAGTTAGCGCTAAACCCAAGTATTTCAAAGTGTAAAAATTACGCGCTCACCACACGCGGACCTCATTACTTTATATATACATATAACGTAGGTCTGCACTTTTTCATTTTCAGTTTGAGGATCACACAATTTGCTTGTGATAACGCGTTTATGATTCATATGTTACCGCTAAAGCTCGAAATCCGTTAATGTGTACATTACCTAGCTAATCTGCAGATTAACTAGGGTGATCTGTTAAAGTTGCTAAAATTATTCCATTTCTCAAATTACCTAGGACCTAGGTAATCTGCAGATTATGTAGGTAATCTGCGAATTACCTACTAGGCACTCGGTAAAGTTAAAATAAGATCTTTGCNGCAGATTACCTAGATAATCTGCAGATTACCTAGGTAATTTGAGAAATGGAATAATTTTCGCAACTTTAACGGATCACCCTAGTTAATCTGCAGATTAGCTAGGTAATGTACACATTAACGGATTTCGAGCTTTAGCGGTAACACATATACTTTAATGGTTACGAGATGATGCATTCGTGCGGCGTTTTAGGAGGAGTTGCTATTTAGTAAGGCGTTATATCGCGGTTCGACTCTTCAAATTTTAAATGATTTTATGAAAATAAACCAGCCGTTACCAGCGGCTTTGCCCGGGCGGATTTTGCAAGCAAACCCCATTTACATTCGGTATTTGAACAACCATAGTAATTGTTATATAACACCTACCACCGAGAATGATGAGAATTGCCAAGAATCAAACGAACTGTTTTCAATTTGATCAATTTTCTGGAACGTTAACAATCGTTCTATAATCGAACCAATATGCAATAACAAATTCGAATTTAAAACGGTTCGAACATTTGGATGAAAAATCGAAATAAATAAAAATATTTATAACAATGTCTGAGATGTTATTAATTTAATACACCTAAGTACTCGACGAAGACTAAATCCTCTCCCTCTCCCGCCCGCGGAGGAATTTCGAAAAATCCCTACTTAGTGTGCATTGCCATGGCGTACCCTACTAAAACGCAGATAAAAACAAAAAAGTCGATCTAAAATAGTACAGTAGAAGCCATTATTTTGGTTAAGACTTGATCCTCTCCCTCTCTCCCCCGCGGGGAAATTTCGAAAAATCCCTACTTAGTGTGCGTTTCCATGACGTAACCTAACTGTCTATCAAATTCCACCTCTTTAGGTTAAGCGGTTTGCTCTGGGCGATGATGAATCAGTGAGTGAATGAGTGAGTCAGTCAGGACAAGCAATTTTATATATTTAGATTATTAAAAATTAAATTACAGTATTAATATTTAACGATTTAACTTTATTATTTGATTTACTGATTCATACGTTATCGTTTTATAAGAAGGAAACAATTACTTAGCGTGACGGCATTGTTACACCGTCACAGTTTGGAGGAAATTTTTCCATTATTGTCGTCGTTAGATACAAAGCGTACACAAGAATTTTCCTTACTTTATTAAACAGCAAATCTGGAAACACTCTCTGCTCTTTTAAATTCGACATTCTCCAACTGGAAAATTTAAAGACGTCACAATAGCGCAGTCATCACACATCACACTAAAACAATTTGTTTTAAGCTATTTCTAAGCACGGGGTGGCCCAAAGCACTGTTAATTGTCTTCTGTTTCGTGCTTCGGCTATACTCGCGAAAACCATTAACATCGTTAATGGTATTCGCGAGTATAGTGTTCATTTATCAAATTCATTTTATTAATGACGATTAATGCAATTATTACTATTATTATTTTTAGGGGATAGACCTCACCGAAGGGTCTAGACCTAAGAAACAGAGTGAGAGATTACAATTATAGTAGTTACAAAATAAGACCGTAATGTAATCTTTGCAACGGTTAACTGACTTTTGGGCCACCCTTTGTGTCTGTCTCGTCTCTAATTTGTATTATAGTAAACGTGGAAAAGTTTTAAAAAGCATACTTCCTCTAGCATGAAGAGAGAATTGTTTTTAAATTTAAAAATTTTTATACGTGGATCATTGTTAAGGATAATAGTCGTACCTTCTAAAGTATTAAAGAACAATGTAAAATATTTCCTCTTCTGATAGCTTTTATAAAAATGATAAATGAATTTCTACTTGGAGGACTAATTTAAAACTTCCTTTATTTATTTATTTTTCCCTAATAAAAATTACAGAAAGTTTTAATTAATTTAAGTTTTATTTTGATATTTCGACTTTTATTTTAAATTACTTCGTACTTGGGTCCGGATGCGTAACAAATCATTTTTTAGCTACGTAAATGGAATTATTTATATTCGAACGATTGCTTTTCCGAGGAAAAAAGTAGAAATTACTATATCAATTTGTGTGTATTTTCCTCGTTTTCTTATCCAATTTTCTGATTCACTTGGATTCTTCATCCTCGAATCGAAAACAAAAGATGCGTGCATTTGTTTGGTCACTGTCCTGTACATCTGACGTCGCATTGACGTTGCATTGACGTTTTCTGGTCACCGAAACTAGGAATGTAGTCGAACTGGCTTAAAGGCGTAACGATTGCGCCGTGAGTTAATAAATAACAAAGTACGGTGTTCTAGCGAAAGTCGAAAGTAGACGAGAATACTTTCGGTCTCGTAATTAGGTCAGGTTGTTACGAAACTGAAATTTTTTGCCAGTCGAAGGTCGTCTTTCGTGTGGTCATCGCACCCTGGGTACACCTATCGACAGTCGTCTCTCCTAGGCCTACTTCACTGACGAAATAATGCAGACATGTCTCGTAATCTTATCTATAAACTTACCTTCTTGAGCAGCAACACATTTCCATTCTCAATTCTCTCGATTTGGATATGTTCGTATTTACGTCATTTGTCGTCACAAAGAGTTTTTGAGTACTTATAACAATTGTTTCTCTGGAATCTCGACTAAACTCCAACCATTTTATATCATTGTAGCCCTACGTTATTCGTTATTGCGTTAGTTTACATGTTACGCTATTGTTAGCACGCTATACGACGATACCTTGATACGACGATACGGTTTTAAGAATGTCGAACATTAATACAAATGTAAAATTTCAGCAGGTTTAGGACACGATAATACGTAACAACACTAAAGAAATTAGAAAGGAAGGCTGAAAATGAATTTCTTGGGAAACGACGACAACACTTGAAATAAATGTGTGCAACAACAATAATAAATTTGTCGTTGCCTATTTTTAATTGGAAATCGCGTGAAACTTCTTCGTTAACCTTGAGAACGACAGGTTTTGCCGGTTTAAGGAAATGAAGTTAATTAATTATACCCACGTGATCACGATAAATAACATATTATTTCTTATTCTGTCTTTTAAATATCTATACTTATCTCCTCATCTCTGTTTTTAATTTTAGTAAAATAACTTCCTCTGAGCTTCTGTGTCGATTTCAAGGTAAATTAAATATACGTGCCTAAATCATCTAACTAAACTTCTTTTCATAGAAAATAAGTGGTTGAAAAGAAAATAAATTCCAGGTGTTTCCTTAAGTCGACAAGTCATTTACTGTTTGAAACGCCTTGATGACAACTGTTCCGATATTTATATTTCACGTTTAACTTAAAATCTAAAGAATCCATTCTTCTCGGACCTCGAGGCGCCCGTCATCCGATTTCTGTTTGCAATAAATGAGAATAATTAAAATAATGCCCTCGAAAATGCTGTAAAACTTACACCTTTATTTTACTCTAGGAAAATCTACTTAAAAATCTACTTAAAAACGTCCAATTCGATTAGAATATTTTTCTTTAACTCTCCGCCCTGTGGACATTAAGATGGAGTCTTTTAGCAAGCCCATCAGCCAGACCCACAATGGGGCGGCCGGGTGGTGAGGGACCGAAAAATTCCTGGATATTTTTTGACCCGCCCGAATTCGATCCCGGGGCCGAACTGCCACCTTGACTGCTCGGCTATCCTGTCGATTAGAAGTATTAGTAAAGTGTAGGCGGGTAACGAGAGCAAAGGGATTCGTGGGTGTACAACTTGTACAGTACATTCGCGTAGGGTCCGCGCTCAGAAGGGCTTACAGGGGGCCCCGCTCGACTAATGCTCTGTTCTCGGCCTCTTTAAGAGGTCCCACTTTTATATTTTGTGGCGAACTCCGAAAATTTGAAGTCGGTTCTGGAAAATGACAGAGAAATCCTGGTCGTAACTATCGCTCCGCCTCGTGTCTTCGAACAGTTCTATATATTAACGTGGCTGTTACTTATTTAATCTTCAAAATTACGAATTTATTTTTATTTTTGCTACCATCAATAGCTAATTTCTAGACTTTGACGTTCTTTTAATTTCAGGAATGTGTTTGCTGACTGACATGGACTTCTTGTTTCACATGAATCACGCCAGATACTTGCGAGAATTCGAGTTCAGTCGCATGAAATATTTATTGGCCACGGATCTAGTTGCCACGGCAAATTCCCTGAACGCCGACATAGTCATAACAGGCATCACCATCAGGTACAGGCGCAGTATACGGGTCTTCGACATTTACAAAATCTCCAACAAGGTAAGGCGCGAGTTGCTCTCACACTAAACTTTAAATTTTGACCAGTAAACTCGATAATGTGTTTTGATTCGCAGCTGATCTATTGGAGCGGAAGAGACTTTTACATAGAGCACCGACTGACAACGCGCAGAGACAACTTCGTCAGGACCTTCTGCATCATCAAAATGACTCTGACCAACGGAGTGACGTTCGAGGAAGTTCTTAAGAGACTTCCGGTGAAGTCTCGCAACATGGAACCACCGGAACCGCATAAAGATCTTCGATGTTGGCTGGAATTTAACAAAATATCCAGCGAAAAGTTAAAAGAAGAGCAAAAGACGGTCGAAGCGCACGAAATTTCTGTTTGAAATCGTCTCTAAAATATAACTTAGTCTTCGAATTTATTCGAAAATTTCATTGTTGCTCTTTGTTTATTATTATTATTGATTTTATTAATGCTCAATCGTAACTCGGTTTTCGGCGTGAGGTTTGTGACATCGATGAAGTTCTTCATTGCCGACCATTTATCAAGTTGAAACTGATCCTCGAGATCAATTTAATCCTCTTTTTCAATTCTTTGAATTTAATTTAAAAGAGAGTTGTTAGTTTCTTCTTAATTATTTAAATTCTGTCCAACAGAAAAATACACGTATTTATTGAATAAAAATTGCGTTTAGAACGTCATTGTTAGAAATTGTGAACATGTGCGCTACGTGCAAGAGGACAGTGGACATTTCGATTATAAAAATTATAAACTTTTTATAACTTCCACCGTCGTTTTTAATCATTTTCATCGTCTGAAGCCGAAAATCAATAACCTGTACGGGTGATCCAAAAGTCAGTTTTGTTGCAGATACAAATACCGAGTTTAGAAGATGCATTTCTTTTACGAAATTAGTACATTTGCTTCAAGTTAATATAGTAATTTAGATTCGATTAACTAACTTTTCGGACACTTAAGCATGCGGCTTTTACAATGTAAATTAGATTTTCTAAACTGTAGTAGGCCTACTTGTGCTATCTGAGTGGTGTCCAAAACTCAAACTTGTAAGATGTGTGCTTTGTTTCTAAAGATTAATTAAATACAGTTCGACTATTTACGAGTTAATTCGAGAATAGAAGATAATCTTTTTAAAAGTACTTACATTTTAGACATTAAATTTGGAAAAGACCAAGTCTTCCGAGTTGTGCAATAATCCACAATTCAGATAATTTTGTAGAATATGTATCTAACAAAGGTATCTTATCCCATAAAATTGTACTGTTTCATTGATACGAGTATGCAAATTTTGTAACGCGTTAAATGCCAACCTCTTGAAATTTGCATATCGTATTTTATACTTCGTTAATAAATGATTTATTTTTAAAATTTTATGTTTAAAGTGTCGTTCTGTTCCGTGAATTTTCAGCGAGCCCATACTCGAGCCGGTTTACTCATCAGCCATCGACAATTCTTGTTAAACAGTGGAGATACTGTCTTACGGCCTACTGATTTTGCCTCGTGTAGTACTGACTTATAGTATCCTGTTATATTATGAATATTGATCCGTCACGACCTCTCCACAAATATTCAACCCGAAGAATCGCGGTGTTTCTGTTTGGCACTAAATCTTCAACCTATCTGGCCTGGCTAATCCTACAGGCAGCATGGATCTCCAAGTCGTAAGTACGCAACGGTACCATACCATAACAATGTAGAAATAATAGAGGATGATAGGTACTGTACTCCCATTAGGGGTTCTCTGTGACTGGTTCTACTAGGTAAACTCGCTTTGGCACCTGGCTATATGTAATCCACTCACCAACTTTGTGTAGATATTTGTTCGCGCGCATAATCACTGTAACTTATACCTTCTTAGCATATCAATACGTGTATGAATTGCAACTCGGAAAAGCCTATTTTATATTACTATTAGTGATCCCAGTTATGCAATTGCGGTACTGGGTATGTACAGTATTGTACATTGGTACCTGAATAAAGTGAAGTGAAGAAGTGCTAGGTACTTGAAGATAAAACCAAAGATAGTTAAAGAAAAAGATAGACTGAGATCGAGATGGAGCATCACGCCCATCCATCCCCTGGAAAGATGACGCTAACGTTTAATTTGGTTTAAATTCAAAATAATTTAAAGTCTACCAGTGACCGAGTGAATAACACCACATAACACTGATAGTCGGTGGTGGGTTCGTGCCTGACCAACGGGCTGGCCACGTAGAGTTTGCCGAGTATTCTTTCACGTTTGTAATACCTAACTATGGGCAGTTTCCCAGTTCCCGAGAGGCATCTCCCTCGGCAGATCGCCCACGTGTCGCGTTGCCGTAACAAATATTTATTTATGTATGTATTTAAATACTATATATATATATATAAATTAATGTTTAGGAGAAGAGGTTACATACTTAGACCAAACAGTCTCGACTGAATCATTGTTTAAAAATAATCCATAAATTTTATCAATTTGTTGTTTACGAATAACAGTAGTAATACATGTTGATGAACGAAAATGATGCAATTTCTTACAATCAAACAAATAATGATTCCCTGCATACAGTAAGCACACAGAATGATGAACTTAAATATAGATACAAATTTTTCCGTACTAAACAGAACTTATTTAGTCGGATCTGAACTATCGTTCTCTTTACAATAAACGGTAGTCGCTGATAATAAATATGAAGACAACGACTATTATCTAGTATTTCCAAGTACCATATGTGATATTTAGCCTTGAGTATCCTGTCTCTTTCTTCTCTAAGAAGATTATCAAACTCACATAAAATTGTGTTTGTATAATATTTTATAACATCTGCGGACGAGTGAATTAAGGAAAGTGAAATTCCTATTCTATTAAACAACTCCAGTCTAGTATACCAACAGTTTTTTAATGATCTAATCAAGTAGTGCGCAAACTATTTTCATTTCCGACCCCCAAATTGTGTAAAATTTTGTCTCGACCCCTGGATAGACAGTAGACGTTTACTGCGCTGTGACTATACTGTTGCAATGCAAGCTAAGTATGCGTGTGTCAACATGTGTTTCTGTTGCCATAACTTATCAGTTTCACTATATCTGTTCGCCTGCTAGTTGCCGAAGTATACGTACTAATACAGATTATTGTTTTCGTAAAAAAGTATAGTTCTTACAAATAGTTTCTTACAGTTTTTATAAATAATATAATTTCATTTCACTATTTTACTGGTACCTGATACTTGTTAAAGAAAAGCCTTGTATTTTTTATTGTTAAATAAATTTCTTTGAATTTGGCGACCCCAAAAATTTTTCTCGCGATCCCAGAGGGGTCCCGACCGACGGGTTGAGCACCATTGAGCCAATCGATGACAGTTTTTTCAAGGTAAAATATGCCACACATTCTAAAGAGGAAGGATGAGGAATAATGCTTTTCAAAAAGTTAAGGGTTAGTTTAACAAAATGTTTTCGAAGTAATTCAAGACCCAATTCAGATCTAATTGCATATGACTGGATGGCCTTCTCGAGGCCAAAAAGACGACGGAAGATCAACAACTCTATCGAGTCAATGTCTCAAAACAAAAAGGCCCCCGGAATGCAGACAGTAAGACCTACTCGAATTAAATAAGGAGGATGCTAGTTTCTTACACAGGACCATATGACTATTTCTTACATTTTTCAAAATATCAATTACGGTATTTATTTTGGAGTATGCTTTATCCTTAAAGTAAGAAATGTAATCTAAGAACGAACTAGTAGCAAATAATCGAATTCCCAAATAGGTAACTCCATTTTTTTGGTTTTAGACCTTTTACTGCTCAGAGAGCACAAAAAATCAAAGTAACTTTATTAACAATACTTATCTTTCTTTTCTTTAAGAAAAACTTATCTGCTTTTCTCAGCCTTCCGCTTTGTCTAAACATTATTATTTTTGACTTAAAAAATTGATACGCAAACCCAAAGTAGAAGAATAATTAAGTAATCTGTACAATTTGCTTTGTAAATCGGCAAATTGTACAGATTTGCAATTTGCAAATTGCTAAGTAAATCGGCGTAGTGGATAACACTACTGTTTCGTCAGTAAATTGAAGTAAATGCACATCGTATTCACCCAGAGATGAAGTCTTTGCTTAAATCATGAAAGGCATGAACCCTACCATTAACATAGCAGATAAACAATAAGGGACTAAGGGTACCACCTTGCGGTAAACTCTTTTTCTTTTCTAACAGAAAATCATCAGTAAACCACTAGTGAAAATACTTGCTTTCAGTTCTGAAAGTAGACCTTGAATAATTTTAATAAATTTATCAGGAATTCCAAGTATTCTTAACTTGGATAACAAAACCTCCAATATAACACTGTCGAATATAACCAAGTGCTCTTCCGAGTTTGGAAAGCAGATTTCACCGGTTAAATAAGATTCCTCTCCCTAAGCCATATACTCAATCTTTTCTCTAAAATAGATTTGAAGATTTTCCGTACTACAGGTAGCAACGATATCGACCGAAAGTTAGCGGGCTCATCAATTGACCTTTTTTATAACTTTAATTTTTACTTCTAATCATGACTTCGGAATCTTAGCAGAATCGTAAACTCGATTAAATAGTTTAACCAGATGAGGAATTAATGTACTTCAAGAATAAGCGATTAAAGACGGTTAAACATTATCTACCCCAGGTGCAGAATGTACTCGCACCCTTGGAATTGCAACGTTCACCTCTGAAGTTAAGATAGGAAGATCCAAAAAGGGATAACCCTTCGGGGGAGTACGTGGAAACATACCCAAGAAGATAAAACTTGTAATAGCACAAAACAACACAGAAGGACAACAAAGGAAATTCGTTACGAGTAGATAAATGTAACGCCACTGGAAAATGGTCAGAAAATGAAAAAGATTCAACACGAAAGGACTCAACCACGAGAGCCAAATTTTGAGAAATGACCATAAAATCTATAATAGAACTGCCTACTTTCGACGAAAAAAAGTTAGTTCACTAGGATAGTCTCCTGTAGTACGACCATTAAGGAGAATTAAATGCGGTTGTGCGCTTGGCGGTGGTAATATCAAGCCTTGTCCACGTATGCCACTGACCCGGAAGTGCTTGCGGACCTCTAGAACACCAAATTGTGGTCTGCGGACCTCTAGAACAACAAACGTAACTCGGAGGCTTTAGAAATGTATATAAAGCCAGCCTGACCCGCGAGTGTCAGGCTGGCTTTATTTATATTTCTATTTAAACACTGCAATACAATATCGCATGCGTGGAGGTACCTCTACGAAAAATTCGGGCAAAGTTAGCCTATATTTAATTACACATTTTAAAAAGGTATATATGTGACAGGGTCATACAGTTACAAGTTTTAGTCGTTCTACCGTTTGAATTTGATTTACGTTACGTGTTATTCGAATTTTAAAATTGTTTTTCGAATATTATCGTTCCAACGTTCCAATTTAGAATTCGTTAAAAAATCTGATGCAGGCCTTGGTGAAAGCCGAAAACGTTCGTTTTCGTTAATATTTGTTACTGGTAGTTAAAGGTTTTGTTTTATGTGATTACCTCCAGTAATTCGGAAAGGAGATAGTTCTGACCTAGTTTTAAATCACTCCAGACTCGTCAGCCACAATGTCCCGCAGAGGCAGTGGCGTGACTGTACCGAAAAAGTTACATTCGACCAAATCGATATTTTCACTGCCCTTCCGGATATGTCGGGTCCCATCCCTCACCACCCGGCCGTCCCATTATGGGCCTGACCGAACCCTTAATGGACTTGCTAAGAGACCCTCTTAGTGCTCACTGGGCGGAAAGAGTTAAAAAAGACGTTTTTGTCTATGCTTGATGTACCCACTTGCGGCGCTTTCTTCATTGCATTTTTTTCTTCGTCCAAACATATAGTTATCAGAGCCAATTCATCCTCAGAAAAGTCCATGATCACTCACCCAGAGCACGAAACAAATACCGCACGGTCACGTCATTGTTGTGTAAATGGACCTAAAGTCCTTTGACCGTCTAACATTAAAAATGTTGGGTGAAGGAAGCCACGTTGAAATATGAATCGAATTCTTCTCCAATACGGCCATTAAAAATCACCCATTATTAAAACTCAATCATAATACGAAGACCAATAAGTCAAAACAGAAGAAAACAAATCGAGGCGTAAGCCTTTCTGCCTTAACGAACTAACATATATTACCAGCACCAAGATTCTCCTAGGATCAGAAGCCAAGAGACGTGTTAAGCCAATCACCATTAAATTAGGGTAAGTTTCCAATAACCCAAAGCACCCTCCATTCCCATGAAAATATAACAAAAGCTGGAACCATAAAATACTTCCAGTTGTCTATTAGAGACTTACCAAAGAAATTTCCGTCCAT